TATGGGGTTTTATATTTAACCATACCTTCTACTGGGAGTACAGGACACTGTATTTTCCTTTATTTATGCGCAGGACGTCCAGTCACTTTCATGTGATATTTGCCTACTCGGTTAGCTCCCGGTGTAGTTTACCTTAATTTATTTGGGGCAGGGATTTGGTGGGAAACCTGTTCGATGCGTAATCAAATTAAATAAGCAATTCATTTATTTATTGGTTGGTTGTATGGTATGTTGTATGCTTGTAACAAGTGCAACAAGGTAAGTTGTGTGTTGATAGGATGAAATCATGTTAGTGTGTACTGTTTACGCTTATGTACTCAGCTTTGCTGATTGTGTGTCTTATTTGTTTGGCCTTGTCTTTATCTTGGCCCTACGACGACCCATTTCTAATGGCGAGTAGTGGGGACAAAGTAAAGGGAAGCTTTTCAGGTGATGAAGCATATTCATGATGGACATGACTTGTGAGGAGGAGCTGCCGGGCACATTGTGAGGATGAAGCAATAGGATGCCAAGTGATCGTTTCCTCCACAAGTCTCACAAGATATGACTTGTGAGGAGGAGCTACCGGGCACATTGTTCACTTGATCTAGCTTTCGAGCTAACATATCAATCTTTGAAGCAATAAGATATATTGCTTCAAGATCATGCTTACCGCCCTTCTTGGGTTGACTTTGCCTTTTATACCCCCATAAGCATAATGCTTGGCAACTTCCTCAATCATTTTGTAGGCCTCTTCAAACAATAGCTTTTAAGGCTACCTCCGGCTCCCGATTCAAGGTTGGCCCTTGAGGTAGGAGTAAGACCATCATAGAAGCTTTGCACTATGATCCATGAGGTGAAACTGTGGTGAGGGCATGCTCTAGTGTAATCTTTGAACCGCTCCTATGCTTCACTCAAAGTTTCATCAACCTCTTGGTTGAAGTTGGTGATCTTCCGACTTAATTCGGCCGTTTTCTCGGGAGGGAAATACTTCCCAAGAAAAGCTCTAGTCACCTCATCCCAAGTACTCAACTATCCCTCTTCAACCGTTCTTAACCAATGTTTTTCTTTATCACGGAGGGAGAATTGAAACATGTTCATCTGAATAAACTCTTCCGAAATGTTGTTTTGCTTGATAGTTGTACACAATTCAAGAAAGTTTTCCAAATGAGCAAAAGGATACTTGTTTTGGGGTTTTCTGATGTCCTGCGGGAGAGCTACAATTCCGAGACTGGAACCGGACGCCTGTACCTGCAAAATAACGGAGACTCCTGAGAGCTCCGCCTCCAACGGTCAAGTTAGTACCTGATTAAGGAGTAATTAATACAGAAATTAAAGTAATAAGGTCTCTCTAGGTGAGAGTATTTAATGTAGGTAATCTGCTTTGCTAGCGAGATCAGCCGGTTATTAGTGTGTTCCGTAATGTTTCTCCTCCGTTCCGTTAATTATTCGGTCCCTTGATTAATGAGGATTAATCGAGTATTTATAGCCTTGGGAAGCGTGCAACTCTCTAGGTTTAAGGTAAACCTAGGGCCGATCGGGCTTCTAGACTGAAATGGGCCTTGATGGCCGGTTGTCCCATTTGGCATGGGTGGACACGTGGCGTGTCTTAAGTGGTCCGGGGAGGACGCGTGGCGGAACCTGGTTGGTCCACTTGTCAAACGGCGCTTGGTGGATAAAAATCCCCTAATCAATACTCATAAGGACTACCCCCAAATTGATCGCTTTGAATCATGCGGATGAGTTGAGGTGAAAGCTCAAAGTTGTTTGCATTTGTGGTGGGGAGACGTATGCCACTCCGAAGTTGGAATGCGTTGGGGTGGTCATAGTCTCGTAGCAAAGGTGGAGGAGGATTCTCTCCCATGTTATCTTCTTCGTAGGTTCCAAAAACCTCTTCCGGATCGAAATCCGAATATACAATGGAGAACTCGGGTGTGCCTTGCAAAAGTCTCCTCACGTTCCTCAAGGTCTTGTTCAACTCTAGATCAACGGGAATAAGCAGTGATTGCTTACTCTTTCGTGTTATGCAAAGTCAAACAAAGCTAAGAAAAACGTTAGCAATGACTATCACAAATTAATCACACATAAACGAAAACTAAGGTCAGAAAACTACTATACATATACACACATTTAGTCTCATTCAACAATAATACATTCAATGTGACTTTGCCTCTCCGGCAATGGCGCCAAAATTTGATAGGCCATCGTCGAGCCTACTAAAATATAAATTCCTATCTTGGTCTCACTAACTAATAGCAAGGGTAAGAAAGGGTCGAACCCAAGAAAGGCGTTTAATCAACCACCGAGTACTACCGTTTAAATAAGCTAAATGAAGTCGAAATTGGTTTGGTCTTTAGTAGCTTCTACTTGTTCAATTCAACTAAAGCTAAGAGGAGATTAACAATATTTAGAGGAATCTAGGGCTCGGGTTATACCACTTAACTTTATCACAAATCACGATTAGCATGCAACAATCAAGGTAAATTATAGGGATAAATTAGGGAAAGTCATCTAAGGCACCCGACTAATCTCTCAAGCTAGAAGGATTACTTGAATCATGAATACAACCTACTCTCGTGGTTACAAAGCATAAAGCAAGTGTTAAAGCATAATCACGATGACATAAACATTCGCTTGACTGGAAATTCCTATTCTCATGGCATTTCAAGTCAATTAAGCATAAGGGTGCTAACTCAAGTTCATCTCTCGATCCTTCGTTGAGAAAGCTTGGATAAATAGTTCTAGCAATAGCCATATACAAGAACTAAGCAATTAAACCACTTAAGCTCAACTAATTAACACCCAATTATTACCCAATTATTACATGCAACAAGAAATTAGTGACTACATTGAGGGTTTTACCTAACCCCTAGAAAATAGACTACTCACAATCCATGGTGAAGAACAACCTAACAACAATATCTAAGTTCAACATAAGTTTAACAAGTTGAGAAAAGTAGTAAGAACAAGGTAGATTGAACATGCAACAACAATAAAGCAAGATTAAGAAGGAAATTAACAATTCAAAGCAATTAAAAACTGAAAATAAAGAGCAAGAGATAGAGGAAGAAATTTACTAATGAAGCTTCAAAGTTGAGAAAGTGTTGAAATTGAGAATACAAACTTTAATTAAACTACTTCAATGATTGAAATTGAGAGAAACTAAGCTAATTAATGAGAGTTTTTAGAGCTAACTAAGGACCTAAGAAGACTAAAAGGAAGAAGAAGAAGTCCCCCTTGAATAAAAACCAAGGGTCCCTTTTATACTCCCCAAAGTCACATAGAAAATTCCGTTAGGAACGAGTCTGCATGCAGGAGCACCCGATCCTACATATAGGAGTGCCCGCTCTTAGGCCTGGAGCCCCCGCTCCGGCTACTCTTGCGTGCCCGCTCCTAGCTGCAGCAAAGAAGGCAGATTGTTGGAACTCAGGGAGGAGCGCCCGCTCCTCCTTAGGTGCACGCCCACTCCTCACTGCATCAGAGAAGGCAAATTGTTGGAGCTCGATTAGGAGCGCCCGCTCCTTGACTAGTGCACGCCCGCTCTTAGCCGGGATAGAGGGAGGCAGATTGTGGCGCTTGGGGTAGGAGCACCCTCTCCTTAGGGGCTGCACGCCCTCTCCTCTTGTGCTTTGCTTCCAATATAGTTCTTCATGCTTATGCTATATAATCAATTTATCATTGCATCTACAAACATGAACACACACATAAAAAAGATTGGGGAAGCTAAAAGCTATAATCATGCACTAAAGGAGATAAAAAGGGATAAAAGAGGGAAAAATAACTACAAAATTGTGTCAAAAATACCATGATAAGTGGACAAATAAAACACTTATCACTACAATCAATGAATTAAAAATTATGAAATTCTGACAATTAACAAGGTTTTATTAAGAAATTACAATTAAGAATTTAATTCAAATTTATATGAATAAAAACACAGTTTATAAAAAAATTATTAATATCACAATTTTCCCCTCCTTATTATTGCAAGTGCACGAATATCAAAATCAAGGCATATTTGTGAATGTTGATATTGAACTAGGAATTCATATGTTGTCGAAGAAACATCTTCCAAATTTGAATGAAATACTTTCAATAATTATGTTATCTTTCATATTGATATTTTTTTTTAAGTGTGCGTTTTTGGGGTAATCTTCTAAAATTTTAATTTTTGATGCAGTTATGTCATTTTTTTCTCCTTTCAATATTCTATCTCTTTATGGCGTATCCCAATTGTGTGTTTTGTATAACAAAAGATTATATAACTTCGCGTGCATTGCGTGCATAAATGACTAGTACAGTATAAATCTAATTTTGAAGCTACAACATTATTAACCATTGGTTTAAACTTTTGTTATAAATTAGAATAAAAAAAATATTCCGTATATTTTTAAATTTATATAGTAAATAAAACAAGGATACATATATTCAGCTTCTTCTCCCCAATGCAAAATGTTGCATTATTTAAATTAAAAAAAAAAAAAGTAGAAGAAATAATATGTTTGTCATGTAATAAAGTCTAATTTATTTTCCTATCTTTTATTACACTTTAATGAGCTAGAATCAAGTGCGTTTCATAACTAACACACTTGAGTAATTTGTGATAGTCAATTAGTCATCATAGTAGTCAAAACAATATTGTAATGAAGTTATTCAATTCACACATCATGAATCAACAAGTTTAGGTGTTGCATACCTCGTTTGTTATTCATTTAGGTCAATTATTTATACAAAACCTAAGATAACATAAAACAAGAAATAATCTTCCTAAAAGATATATTACCATAAATACAAAAAGGATATGATTTACAAAATCATATCAATATTATTTAGCAAATCATTTCCTCCCATAAATAATCCTAATGATATCACTTTCCTAAAATCATTATATAAAAAATCTTACACAATTCCTATATTTTCTGATATTGATTACATAACATAATTGTAACAAGTATTCTGATCCTCACCTATTTTTTTTTGAAAGAAAAAATATACAAGTAAAAAATAGAAAATAAAATCTGATTAGGTCTGATAACAAAACAAGATAATATAAGATGAGTGAAATTCAGGCAATGTAAACAGTACCTACGGAGTATATATGAACTTTTATAAAGCTTCTGATTAAACAGTTTCTTCCCCCATAGGCCATAGCTTTTACCAATATATTACGGAGTAAGAAACATCTCAATTCTCAAATTACCAAACCAAAAAACAATTGAATCATTTTCTCTCTCCTCAATTCAACCCCGCCAAAATTTTATGCTTTAAGCTGAATTTCAATGGCGGACAAGCAGCTTATACTCGTTGTTGAAGGGACTGCGGCTATGGGTCCTTATTGGAAAACCATTGTTTCCGATTACCTTGATAAGATCATCAGGTTTTTCGCTAAATTAGGGCTTTTTATTTCACTTTGTTGTTGTTCGATTGAATTTTCCTGTTTAATTTTTAGTTTTGTTTGAGTGTAATTTAGGTTTTGTTTTGTTCAAAATGATCATGATGATGTTTGTGGTAATTGTTGGTTGGTTAAATGATGGTTAATTGGATGAATTGCGGTTTTGAAACTATTTGATTTTTGTTGTTTTACTAAATTGTTGACTGTGTTTGGATTTTGAGTGAAATCAGATTATGCTGTTATCGAAGTTTTGGTTTTTTTTTTTTTTTTTTTTTTTTTAATTTTGTCAAATTGAATGGAATTTTGTTGTGTTTGATTGATTTTTTTTTAAAAATGCGTTTTTAGTTTTGTTTGAATGTAATCTAGGTTATTGATTTTTTAAAAATTATCATGATGATGTTTGTGGTAATTAGTAGTTGATTAAATGATAATTAATTGGATTAATTGCGATTTTGAAACTGTTTGATTTGTGTTGTTTCACTAAATTGTTGGCTGTGCTTGGATTTCGACTGAAATTATGAAGACTAATTCATGCAGTTATGCTGTTTTTGATGATTTTTTTTGTCAAATTGAATGGAATTTGTTGTTTTTGATTGTTTTTTTTTATTTTTTTTTATTTTTTTTAAATAAATTCGTTTTTAGTTCTGTTTGAGTGTAATTTAGGTTTTTGATTTTTTGATAATGGTCATGTTGATATCTATGGTGATTATTAGTTTAGTAAATGATGGTTAATTGGAGGAATTGCAATTTTGAAACGGTTTGATTTGTGTTATTTTATACATCTCTAAGGTAAGGCTTTTTCACAAGAGGGAAGAGGGCTTGCCTTTCTTGTTAGTTATGCAGTAATGCTGTTTTTGATGATTTTTTTTGGTCAAATTGAATGCAATTTTGTTTTGAATGAATTTTTCTTATTCGTTTTTTGTTTTGTTTGAGTGTAATTTAGGTTTTGATTTGTTGAATACGATCATGATGATATTTTATGGTAATTATTGGTTGATTTAATCATGGCTAATTGGATGAATTGCGACTTTGGAACGGTTTGATTTGTGACTTTGTGTTATTTTTACTAAATTGTTAATTGTGTGGATACTGAGTGATATTAAGAAGACTAGATTATGCAGTAATGCTATTTTTGATGATATTTTTGGCCTAATTGAATGAAATAATGCTGTTTAGCTTGTATGTGGAATGGGTGTTTCGTGCTTGATTTTGAAATATCTAATTTTTGGTGTTTGAAAAGTTTGTGAGTTGAATTGCTGATTGTATACAGTAATTAGCATGGTTTGGTCCCTCACTAGATCTATTTACGAACATGATCTCAGTAGAGAAAACTCTGCTGAATTTTACTGTGACAGAACAATACAATGGCCACTTTACTCACCCCTGAACAACCTATTTGCAGTTTTCACCCCGCTTGATGTAGATTGGTTGATGAGGGTTATTAGATTTACTCCCGTACAATATTGGGCTGTATATTCCGTTCCTTTATTCGAGATGAAACTACTCTTTAACTTAGTGCAAGCTTTGCTCTTCTCAACTGGAGCTGGTTTTGTTTGCTTGCGCTCTGTTGAATGTATATGTATTGTGGGTTTTTATAGCCTTTAATCTAGAAAGTAGCCGGACTTAACTATCAACAAACCATGCATTTTTAGCGTAGTTTGCTGCCTTGCTATGCTAGAAATCATGAGTTATTGTGTAGCTTCACTGTCCTACTAATACCGCAGTGAACCAGTTTCTTTCTTCTTATATTATTTCGCGTATGTTATTGTTGATTTTTGTCTTAAAGATAGGATAGATTTTATTTTTTATTTATTTTTATAATTTGAAACTTTTTTGGGACCAGTCTGGCGGTAGAACTTTTAGTTTGTTTTTTTGTTAAGTCATTTGCTGCATCAAAAGCTTTTATCTTGATTGGGTCACTCTACTTCCCATTGTCTATCTCACCTCCTTGAAAAGGATAGAACTTTTAGTTTGTTTTTTTGTTAAGTCATTTGCTGCATCAAAAGCTTTTATCTTGATTGGGTCACTCTACTTCCCATTGTCTATCTCACCTCCTTGAAAAGGAAAGAAATGGATTCGAAGCAGGAAGCTTAACATTTGGTGTATGATTTTGTTGGCATGAAATCTCATGCATTGAGGTGTATTAACGTCTGTCCTATTTAACAATTATAAGATTTATAAATGTATCTAAATGAAATCATACAAGCCTTAACTTCCCAAGAAAAAAATGTAATATGTTTTGGTTCATATGCAGGTCTTTTTGTTCAAATGATATGATAACTCAGGTTTGTTATTTTTCCTTCTTATGCTTTCTGATTATTTGTCTCATTCTCACACTTTTTTTTAAATTACTCTAATTTTGGCCTTTGTTATCTTCTTCATTCAAGCATGTGCCAAATTTTTATTTTGTCAATCATTTAGGAGGGGGTTTTCTGATTGCATTGTCTAATTTTAGCTGACTTCTGAGTTGCATGCTTCCCTTTTGTTTTCTTGAGGTATGGTGGAATAATAAGGTTTGGGAAGTTGGTTTCTTTAAAGTATTTTGATGTCAAATGGCTTTAGTTTTGATGGTTGGCCCCGTCTGGCTTGCTGGATGTGTTGTTACACCAGTGATTATTGATGACGGAGAATTTCTTCTTTTAGGAAATTCATTGATAATCACAGCTTAGTGTACAGGGTGTAATTTGTGGACTAAAACAATATCTTGGAGATCTAGAAAATAGTTTTATTCTAAAACTGAACCTGAATTTGCTTTCCCATTGATGATTAAATATTCTAAGAAGTGCTATTATTTATTCTATTAAGATACTTTAAAATCTAAAGGAAGCAAGGAAAGTGTTTTTGAATATTGTAGATACCGTAAATTTCCAAATATACATGGAAAGTTACCTTTCAACTTAATTTATTTATTTATTAATTTTTTGGGTAATAATTAAATCTTCGATTCATTCTCTCAAAGATACAAAGATAATATTGACTTTCAAGACTGACAGCAGTAGACAAACTGTTGGAGTTAGAAGTGATGGTTAAGCTTTTTTTTTTGATGTATTTATATAATGAGATGTAGTACATTTACTTTTTGTGTTGAGTAATGAGGAAATAAATTTGACATTTGTTGTGCCTCTTGTTTTACTCACCTAACCAGTCTGTTATAGTGCCTTTTTGACTTTTTTTTGGGAGTTTCGATGATGATACATTCTACTTTTTCAATTTTGTATCAGGTTCAACTTTTGTACCATTATCTTATCTTCCTGATTTTAGTGTCCATGTTTTTGTTTCTTTGCAAGATACAGAAACCTACTTCAATTGTTTCTGGTTCAACTTTTGAGCTTGCTCTGGTTGTGTTTAATACACATGGACCTTATTCCGGTAGGTATTCAAGAATCTTACTTAAATCCATTATCTATAAATCATATGCTTGGATTATGCCTTCATGTTTTTGCTTCTCCATAACAAAAGTTAACTTCTACAACCTACCTAAAATATTGAGCTGTTTTTAATTTTTTAATTTTTTTTTCCTATTCTGTTATATTCTCTCTCGTTTCTTATTATTTTATTTTCCTCCTCTCTATAATTGCGCCATATTTGCCGTTGTGAAGAAAGGATAATTTTGCATTTCCCAATCCTCATTAAAATCCTTTTTTCTCTATACATCCATCCCATCCAGTTATATCCGTATAACGTTAACATTAAGTAATACCAAATTTTTTATATAGTGTTCATGTTAAAATGTTGTATATGAGAACAGCACCCTTTTTGATTGCTGTAACACCTTATTGGTTTGTTATAAGCTATTTTCTCTCCCATACTTTTTGGCTAATCACATGGTTTATTTGTAATTTCAGAACTACCTTAAATAAAGAGGCAAAACCACCAAAGATAAATTATAGAAGTAAAAGAAAAAAAAGGAAGTATTACAGACTTACAGTAGTAGATTAGTAATTTACTTTAATTTTGGGAATTCAGGAAGGATAATATTAAGAAGATGAGTATAACTCATATGTTATGTTATGTTGAGAGTTAGAGATTGATGTGCGGAATATGAGAGAAAACAAATTGAATTTAGGATTTAGAATTTCAGAGTGAGGTTGGTGTTGATGATAATGAAAAATACGATAAGAGAGAACTGACTTTTATAGTTGGACATGTGTGATGACAATGTGCTACTGCACTAGTAAGTATAGAGGAGAAATGGGATTTTGGGGCTTTTAGAAGTTGAGGGAGGCCAAAGATAACTTTAAAAGGATATAAAAAAATTGGGTTTATAAGAGTGTTCAAGTACATATCACTAGATAGAAGTGAATGAAGGCAAACTGATCTTTATGGACAACCACATGTTAAAGTCTTGGTTCATGCCACCAACCCTATCTTTTTGGGATTAAGGCTTGGTATTGTTGTTGTAACACCAAAGAGAGTGCAACCTTTTTTTTTTTTTTTTTGTAAAAAAAGAGATCAATCACAAAATTAATGGGATTGAATTATTGATGTAATGTGGAAGTGACATGCACAAATGAAGGTATAGAAATACAAGAATTTTGTTGGCAAATGCAAAGTGAATCTTTACTTCTCAAAAGCAATTTTGGAGTAATCTTAGGGAGTTTGGCAATTGAAAAGAGGAAGAGGGTAAATTTAACCATATAGGAAACAAATTTTAAATAAATTTGTATCTTAATCTTATGGAGAATTTACTATATCCGCTAGGTTGTAGTTTTAAAATTTGCTTAAATAGTTTTGATACTCATGCTCAAATTAGTATTGGCACATAATTTTAGGTATTAAGCCGTTGTTTGACTATCAATCGTTTTTTGTGTTAGAAAATAGATTTAAGAAGATAGTGGGTATTATTTTCTTGAAAAAGTAGACGTGCTGGTATTTGTCATTAAATGTGAGAGAGAGTAAGGTCCTAACCTTGCTGGTGAAAAGAGAGATGTATTAAAATAATAGTTTGGCCTTTCCCAATATACGAAGTGTAAAGTTTCATCTGAGATAGTTGAAAAAGGAAAGTGTAATAGATAATCAGCGACATTGGAAGTAATAGCTTTTTCTATGCACCAGCATAAGGTAGATAAATCGATGTCAAACTTCACTTTATAAGTTTATATCTTTTTGATGTATTGAGACCCATATGCTAAGAAAGAAATCTTCACACTTATCACTAAAATCCTGCCCTCTTTTGCATTTTAAGAAATTGTTAAATAATTGATGTTGAAAGCTGCTTTCTCCATCATTCTTTTATTTTTCAAGATAGGTGTATGCTGTAATTTTTTGATGTTTATATATATCTCTATTGCTATACAGCAGTTCAAATCATACAAAAATCGTGGCAGGCAATGTTGTACTAGTTAACTTCTTCACAATTTCAAAAGGGTAGTCAGTTTATTGTGCACTTGCTGTTGCCTTACAGTAATGGGTAATTGAGTGTCTGGCTTTGTTTCATCTGGGCTATTTTTTGGTCATATTAGTCTTTTCTTTCTCACTGCCTTCTGTTTGCTAGGAAGAGGATCATTATTCTGTATTTCTAATAAAATGTATAGCCCATTAAACACTTGTTATGTTTTTGAGTCTTCTGTTAGTTGCTTCATAATTATCCTCCAACATAGTACTCAATTTATGTGACATTAAATAATTTTAAACCAATAGTGTAAAAGGGAGAGCAGAGAGAAAAAGAAACAGTAAGAAAAAACAATTAGAGAGTTAAAGACATTCTTAAAATAATTTGATGCTTGAATATGTAGGTTTCACATGACTTTACTTCACGGGGCCAGGGTTACTATTATCTTGTTGCTTTTAAGGCGTTGATGTGTTAGTTATTAACTCCTGTAATCTATGCAGGCCTCATTTTCTCTCTTGTGTTGCAGTGTATAAAGTTATTTGTGGTCACATATTTCAGATTGGTTTTGATGTCTCAAATAAATTAGATTTTTTTTGTTTAAAGATGAAATTGATGATTGAAATTTTTTAACAGGTTCCTTGGTTCAAAGAAGTGGTTGGACAAGAGACATGGATAATTTTTTAAGCTGGTTGTCTTCCATAACATTTTGTGGCGGTGGCTGGAACGACGTTGCAACTGCTGAAGGCCTTGCCGAGGCTTTAATGGTCTGGATTTTGAATTTTTAAGTGCTCATGGTTCAATTTCACTGCATTTTAGTTGTTGCTATTGCTATATATTTACTCTCTCTTAAGTTAGTATTTATGCTTTATGTTCTGGTTTTGTTTTATTTGCTGCTACATCAAAGTCAATGTTTTGCCTCGGTAGTTTTTTCTGCTGCTCTTGGGTTATAAAGGAGGCCTGATGCATGTTGCTTACCATAATTTGATTCATCCCAACCTTTTTATTGGTTTGAAATTGCTGAAATATACTTTGCTGATATCATTGTGGAAAAGTTAGGTGGATAAGTAAGTTGTAAAGAATAATTATGTAAGATGCTGCAACTTGTTAGCTAGCTAATGAAAACAGTATTTTGTACTGATCCTGTGGATGTTTTGGAGTCATTGGCTTCTATTTTTGTATTATGTAAATGTCCCTTACTTATTTTGTGGCCTTACTTAAAATCTAAGATTCATATTTAAATTTATAAGATCTGGCTCCTGCTATGTTTTCTTTTTTCTTTTTTTTTTTTTTGCACTCCCTCCCTCTCTCTCTCTGTTTTTTTTTTTTTTTTTTTTTTTTTTTTTTTTTTTTTTAATTTGTTATTTTTTTTAAATGTACACACTTCTCCTCTCACGGAAACCAAGAGTTGTATTTAAATTTAGGAGAGAGAAAAAAGTAAGGTATGAAAGTGACAATTATAAAATAGTATGTTGTGAGTAAATTAAAAAAATCCAAAATAGGAAAGTGAGTAAATTAAAAGAAAACGAAGGAAATCTTATCCAAAAGATTGATTTTTGCTGGAACGTGCTCCTATTGACTATTTAGGCTTTTTTTCTTCCTGGTCTGTATACTTAGCATAAATTACATAAAGATTACCTGGTTACCTTCTTGAGCTGTTTACCCCCCTCCTCTTTCCCCATAACCTCCCCTTTATGTACAGGTCAATCTTCTTCCTTACTAACCTTGTTAAATTATGAGATTGATGGAGGAATTTTTATTCTATTTATTGGAATCATAAACAACCTTCTTTATTTGTTGCATTTCCTTGTACCTTTCATTATAGTAATGCCAAATTATGTCTTATACAAAGATATGTTCTGTTGATTGGCATTTATATCTTGAGAGTGGCCTGCTAGATGCTGACTTGTTTGTTTGCCTGTTAGATGTTTGCTATCCCTCAAAATGGATATCGAGCTGAACAGAATTTGGATGGAAAAAGACATTGCATTCTTGTTTCTGCTAGTAATCCTTATCCCTTGCCGACACCAGTATATCGACCAGCAATTGAAAATCCTGAGCAGGGTGAAAGTGGTGAAGCTCAAACCGAGAATCTTTTATATGATGCTGAGACTGTGTCTAAATGGTTTGGTCTGGTACTGGAATTTAGCTGCATTTCTTTATATGAATTTAACCTTTTGTTTATACATGTAGCAGCCTGACCTTGGTTTCTGCATGCAGTGTTCTGTCTCGTTGTCTGTGATTTGTCCAAAACCGCTACCTAAGCTTAAAGCATTATATAACGCTGTAAGCAACACTTTTTCTGTAGCTCAATTACAGTGAAGGATACTTTTGTCATTGTCTAGATTTTGTATTTGCATAATTCTTTTCATGACTTGTGTTTGCCATTTCAGTTACTTGTAAGGAGGTGTGTAGATATTTTTGTGTGTTGGGGGGGGGGGGGGGAATACTTTTCCTTTGTTTAAAATCTGCCTTGCGTTGTTATACTTTTCTTGACTAATGTTTGCCATTTCTATAATTTGTAAGGAGGGCTTTAGTTTTGATGGGCGGGGGGGGGGGGGGGTATACTTTTCAATTTGTCCAGAAATATCAAACCTCAACTGTATCATTGACTCATTGTATTGAGACTTGTAAAGGTTTTTGAGCTTATTAAGATTATGGTATTAGGTTATGACAGCTGCATACCATCCGCATTGCCTGCAAAATTGGTGTTTATTGCAACTGCGTCAGAAAATTAGAAACCCTGAATTTCAAAGTGGTTGAGTATTTCAGAGACTTTGGTGTAATTTTTAGAGCTAATGGTAACATGTGATGTTGACAAACCAGGATGCTATTTCTTAGGACTGCAAGACATGTCAGGTTTTGTTGATCTGAGATGGTTTAAGGAGAAAGAGAAATTCTAAAAGTTCGGTTTTGGGGGAAAGGATTGGAACGGAAGCAACCATTTCTAGGTTTTGTTGACTGACATGCCTTAGTGCCTAACAAGCATGACTGGAAAGGGGCCTTCAGAAATATCATCAGTTTGATGAAAGCAAAATGGAACTTTATAAAGAAACTTTTCCCTTCAGTACCACCTTGCTTTCTTTTAAAATGCTTCACATTTATCTAAATTTGGTGCTGGGAAACCAATTTTTTCCCTTCACTTCCTGACTTCTTGTACCTTCGTACTAATTTTTCCCATCTAGCTGCTAGAAATTCTGGCTAATTTGGTGCCAAACATCTCTATGTATCTGTCACAGGACTGAACTTGTTCATCCCTTTGATGTCTCTCGTGCCCACTGAAAAAACAAGAAAGTGAGTACGTTTTTAGCTGAACCACTGTCAAGGTCCACAACCTAAGTAGATTGCTGCAGCTTGGCATGCCTTTTGTCTAATCGTGATACAACAGAAAAGTTTGAGAAAAGTATTAAGATACTAGATTTCGTTTTTGTTAGTATTAGGCTATTAGCCTCGTCCTTGCTGGGATATCAAAAAACCCCCAATCTTTTTTTGACTAGAAATTCTAAACTTATGCCCTGATTTTGTTTGTATGCAAATTGGCATTAATATAAATTTGTGTGAATAAGAAAGAAGACCAGTAGCTTCTCATTTTTTGATAAGATTGTTTGAATTCTCCCGCTTGGTCCTAAATGTAGTTTTCCTATTCTTATTTAAGTTTTTTTGCTGAATGTGCAGTTAAAATAAAACTTTACAATTGCATTTCCAATTAACATAAAAATTAACATAAAACTTTACAATTGTCGTAGGGTAAGCGTAACCAGATGGCGACTGATCCAGCTGTTGATGTTAAACAACCTCACTACTCTGTTCAGATTTCAGATAGCTTCATGGAGGCTCTTGCTGCCTTAAGTCGGTCGGGATTGGCTCAAAGTCAAAATCCTGCCACAACTTCACCTCCTGGCTCAGCCCCTCCTTCTGTGTCACCAGGTGGTTAAATGAAATTTGTTGGCAGGCTAGGTCCTTGAGTTGTTAAGTTGCTAACCATTACTAATTGATATAGCATCCAGCAAAGTGGTGATCCCCCCAGACTTTCACCAAGTTTGCAATTGAGCCCCTTAACTTTTAGTTGGAGTAGATTGGCACCCGAAACTTGTATGATTTTTGCAATGAAACCCAAACGTAATCACTAGAATTCTTTCTAGAAAAATAACTTGGTGTCCGATAAAATGTCTCACTTTTTTTTTTTTTTTTTTTGTTTGTTTCACTTTACTTTAAATACGAAGTTTAAGAAAACATTTAAAAAAAAAAAGTGAGTTTAAGAAAAAGTTAGAGTGAAGGTATATAAGATAAACCAAGAGTGTGTTTGTGTGTGTGGGAAGGCGGTGGGTATAAGATCGAGTAAGAGAGAGAATGTGTGGAAAGGTGTAATTAATTTGGGGCAAGAGGGGTATGATGGTAAAGATAGTTTATCGAAAATGGAATAAAGTTAAGTGCGTAGAAGGAAAAAAAAAAAACAGCCTTGAAAGGAAAATGTTAGATCTTTTTTTTTGAAAGCAGATGTAGTTACAATTTTATCTTTGATATAAGTTCATCTTATTTGCTTAAAAGGAAAGAATATTTATTCATGAAATTCATCACTTTTCACTTCCTTTCCAAAGCATAATCACCACCTCTTTCGCTGGAAAGCATCCCTTTATACTTCCAAGGTTCCTTCACATGGCATCACCAACCACTTTTAGTGCTTCTGTTTCTCACCAATTTTTTTCTGTATATTTCTCTGATATGTATGAATGATAGAGGAGGTTTTCCGAGTTATTATTTTTTTGAATTTTTATTTAGTCAACTAAGCGTTTTCACAACTCCTTTAAAACTCTGTTAAATTTTGTTTTTGGTACTCATTTAAAGCTCTAGGTACATGATGACGTGAAAAGGCGCTACCTAGAACTCACTTGTCTTTTTCAATGTAATACCTAGAAAGTTTTACATGATGACATGAAAAAGAAATGATTTTTCTCCATACCTAGAAAGTTTTTTTTTTTTTTTTTTTTTTGGCTTAATTTTTGTTAGCCTTTTTGAATAGAATTTTCGTTAGCTTTCCTAGCTGATTGGATTTGGTAATTTGAATACAAAGTCCTCGCAAGGAATATTTTTAGAGGGTTAGGCATCAAATAAGGTGAAGATTCTATCAAAGGATGCGTTTACGAAAGGAAGTATGATTTTGCAAGCTGTTGTAGCTTATGCCAAGAAGAGGAGGAAAGAAGAGGGTTGGAGGATGGTTCCATTGTGCTTTGTATTTTTTTTTTGACTGATGTTGCAATGACAGATTCTTTTAACTCTGGTTGAGTGTTTGGCAGTAATACAGCCATCCTCTCATGAGGGATTGAGGATGATGTAATGATTCAAACTCGGATGCTGATAATCTGATATGGGTTTTCTTAATTGTCCTTGAAATAAAGTTTCTGTTTGAAAATTGAAATTGTGTATCTACAAATATTGATTCGGCAGATTTGCTTTTATGTTATAATCAATATCTGCCGTGCTATGTTTTTACGTGCCAAGAAGTAAAACTTAGTCATTGATTACATAACTAAAGGCTAATTTTATCAATGTGCTTTCACTGGAGAAAAAGATTTTGATGAAGAAGATAGGAAAATAAAATTCAAAATTTGCAGGCTCTCTCTTTTCAACTGCAAGCTACGTGGTGCATCGTTTCTTGTTTCACCTGATCTAGTAGGTTATCAATGAGATCCTGCATTTGTTCACCGAATGGAATATTAGGATCTTGGGATGCCTCCTATTGCAAATTTTGGGGAATTTGTCACTCATCTTATTATCTTGGAAGAAGCTTTGTGTGATTGTTGGGACTTGATGGCTGATAACTTGATATGCTAATATTATCATAGATCTTGTGCTGTTACATTTCTGTTATCCATTTACTAATATATAAATTTAATTTTCTTTCAGTGAATGGATATATCATGAATAGACCATCTGTGTCTGCTGGAAATGTTCCGCAAGCAACTGTCAAAATGGTAAGCCTTCTGTATTCTGCCTTATGTGTCTGACTTGTCAACTGTATTATTTATTTATTTGTTTTTATTTTTGTTGCTGAACCTGTTATCATTAATGCTATTTCAGGAGCCAAGTACAGTGACATCCATGGCATCAGGACCTGCTATACCTCATATGCCTTCCATTCCTCGTGCTGCTGCACAAAGTGTTCCTAGCTTACAGGCATCTTCGCCTCCTTCTGTGTCACAGGAGCCAACTACCACCAATGAAAATGTTCCAGATCTGAAGCCAATTATTAGCAGTTGCATTTCTCAGCCTGTGCGTCCTGTGGGTGCCATACTAAACAATATCTCTCAAGCACGAGTAGCCCTTGCTGGAGGAACTTCTCTAGGGTTGCCTTCAATGGGTGGGAACACTATTGGTATGCACATGTCAAACATGATATCTAATGGTATGACATCGAATGTGCCACCTTCTCAAACTGTATTGTCTTCTGGACAGTCCGGCATCTCTACTGTAACTGGGTCGGGAAGCATTGCAGGAGCTTCTCAGCCTTTACAGAACTCAGCCCTTGGTTCGTTTTCTACTGCAACTTCAAATGTCTCTGGAAATTCTAACCTAGGCATTTCTCAGCCATTGACTAATCTCCAAGGAAATGTAAGTAATACGATGGGTCAACCTATATCTGGGATTGGTCAGGGAAATGTTTCGGCTATGACACAGAGTGGGACTAATATGAATCCAAACATGATGTCGAATCTTGGTTCAACTGGTGCACCATCCGGTACTGGCTCTATGATGCCAACTCCAGGAATGCCTCAGCAGGTACAGCCAGGAATGCAATCTATTGGAGTTAACAATTCAGCAGCTAATATGCCGATGTCTCAACAAGCTACGGCTTCTTTACAGTCTTCACAATCCAAATATGTTAAAGTTTGGGAGGTAAATATCAGTGTGCTTACTTCTTTCATTTTTTTTGTTTTGTTTTGTTTTGTTTTGTTTTGTGTGTGTGTGTGTTTATCTCTTTGTGGCCTCTCATTTATTGTAAATCTTCATATTATTACATATCTGGGGTGTTTGAACATATTCAAAAGTGTCAATGGAGAAATGAGGTTCTCAAAATTTTACTTTTTAGCCATACATATTGCTAGATGAAAGCCAGAAGCACTTTTAAAAGTTGAAGCGCAAATTTGCTTTACTGTTATTAATTTCTTTTTTTTTTTTTCTTTTTTTCTTTTTTAGCTCAATGTTTTTTAAATGATTCTTTTTGACATGCTTCAACATAAACAGCCCTGTTGATTATTGCCAGAATGTGTTGGGTGCTGATTAGAGACCATGAGAACATGTTTAGTATTGCTTTAGGGAAACAGAAGAATTTGTAGTGGCTTATGCCTTGTGGTCAAGTTTTTTCTTGGACATTTGTGCTTGAAATTCTCTTTTAGAGTTTTAGGCCAGTAAGGCATAAGTTTGATAGTGCTTGACTTAAATATTCAATAGGCACTGGGTAGTTAAGGGTAAATATTTGTACATATGAACCTCTTGATACCTCAGCAGCTCAGTGGAATTCATACTTAGAGGTTTCTTTGTTCAATTTCTTAATATTATTTTTGTGTGAATTTCAATCAGTGTCTTACAGTCTTTGAGGAGATGAGCCCTCTCTCTCTGCATGGTAGTATTAATTTTGATTTTTGTTACTGACAATTACAGGGAAACTTATCCGGACAGAGACAGGGACAACCTGTATTTATTACTAGATTAGAGGTACTTTTTAAAATATGTATTTTAAGTTTATTAGTTCTTAATTAAGATCAATAATGTTGTTTACTTTAAATATTAGATAAAGTAATAAATAACACCTGGAAGCTTTTTAATATAATTGTTATCCTTGATGCAGGGGTACAGGAATGCATCAGCCTCAGAGACGTAAGTAGATCTGTTTCCTTGTGTTATTAATCTTTGTTTGTCTTGGCTGCTCATTTATGTGCTTGAAGCTCCCTTGAAAATTGCTACATTATTAAAGTTCATGTAGCTGCTTAGCTGTGTTATGCTGCTATTCTGAGTTCAAATTCTTGGTTATTTAGTAAGTAGATGTTGATGCTTAGCTGAGTTATGCCACTCTGCTGTATGATGGTTTTTTTATTCTTTTTGACGGTGATTCTTTTTGTGCAAAAGTGGTGCATTAGAAATTTAGAATGTATGCTTGACAAGCTTGTGGATTGTTTGCTCAAAAGTGCAGGGAGCAGTAAGGCTATGTCATGTGGATAGAGGCATACACCTTCAACAACTACTCACAATCTAATTAGTGATTTGTCTCTGAACTAAAATAGTGAGGAGTCCCTTAAAGTTGCAATAATACACCAGGAAACGTTAATCATGATAGCGGAGAACATTATATTAAACTCCTAATAGGAACAATAAATCAATGAGCAGCTAGGGTTGTGATGAGGGACCTTAAAAGTTGCTTCTATGCACTACTGTAGTCTTAATTACTGAGTATATTGTTTGAATATTTTCAGCAGAGTTGCAGAGAACTTAAATGTTAGGATTCATTATAATACTGATTCAGAAATTATAAGAACAGATATCATACAAGTGATTGAAAATCTTGGCGGGAAGAAGATTGAGCAGAGAGAGTCAGGATCACATAGGAGGAATAAAAGAGCAGAAAAAAGAATGAGTGAAATAAATTAATCAGTGAAATTTGAGAACCAGAAATGAGTGAGAGAACTGGAAAGGAGTAAAGTGTTAAAGACGTGGAGGAAGAGAAAGAGGATGAGTGAGCAGATATGGTGCTGTATATTTAAGCCCTCTTCTGTACTTTTTTTTTTTTTTTTTTTCTGGTAGCATTGTCTTTAGTACTATAGGTTCTGTTGCTATTGACTTTCTGTTAAGGTTTTGTATTGTGCTATATGTATTTCTTTTATTTGTATTGTTCGTCTTTATCGATAGTTGGCGGGGAATATGAATGACACTATCTGCACTCACCACAAATAAAGCTTAGTTGGATCCATTTTGTTCACACCTTACCTAGTCTCCTTCCTACCAAAATCCATAAAAAAAATGGGAAGTGGGTCATATACCATTTATCGGCCTTACTAACTCTCTGTTACTCTTGCACAGACTTGCAGCAAACTGGCCGCCAACTATGCAAATAGTCCGTCTTATTTCTCAAGATCACATGAATAACAAGTAATGCATTCCTTCCGGGCTTACTTCCATATTGAAACTGGTGTTTTTTTTTCTTGTATCTTTGATGCTCTTGACATGCACATATGTGTTTCTATGAGGGACTAGAGAGCTCAACTGTCCAACATGAATGTTGATGTAAGTCGGCTGATATCTTGTGTTTTGTCCTTTTTCACTTCCAGGCAATATGTTGGCAAAGCAGATTTTCTTGTTTTCAGGGCGATGAATCAGCATGGATTTCTTGCTCAGCTACAAGAAAAGAAGCTTGTGAGTTGTTGGATAGTTCTTTGTGACTTCTGATGTCATACCTGTGTATACTAATCTTAGTTCTTGTTTCTGGCACATTCATAGCTTGATTAGGAAGAAGAGGGGGGGGGGGGTGAGGAGATGAAAAAAAAGATTTATTATGTTGTTGAATAAAGGGGAATTGGATTTACTGTATATTGATGCCTGCTGATCTGGAAGTAAAATGAGTCTTTAGATTTGTTGAAGTTCCATTCCTGAAGGTGTTATTTATTGATGTGATTTTGTGAACATTGAGACAAGTGCATAATTTACTGATGTGTTTATTAAACTTTATCAATGTGGATGCTTCTTGTGAGTCACATGTTGTTCACTTCCTGTACGTCTAAGGGAAGCAATAAACTTCTGATGTTTTAGATGCTTTTGTTTATGCTACTACAGTTAGATTGATTACTTCTTTTTTTTTTTTTTTCTTTTTTTGCTCTTTGAACTTTCAGTGTGCAGTTATCCAGCTGCCTACACAGACGCTGCTGCTGTCCGTTTCTGATAAAGCCTGCCGCTTAATAGGAATGCTTTTTCCTGGGGTTAGATTTTTTATTTTTGTTCTGTACTTTATTTGCTTATTTATAAGTTCATTTTAAAAGTTTAATACCAGCAATTTGCTTGAATGATCATTCAAAGTGTGTTCGGCAGAGATTGATTGGCTTCATTAGTTCCTTTATGTTCCGTCTATCTGCAAAATACTCCCTCCGTTCTTTAATAGTGTACCCATTTTTTTAATTTGTGTATTGGGAATTGGGGGTTCCCCCAAATAGTGTAGTTAATCTCTTTTTTGGGGCTGGTTCCACTACTTTTAGTCACAAATCTTCTCAGTTCAACTTCACCCATTATCTTTAATACCCTTTACCTTTTCCCTCTAAAAAAATTTACCCATTATCTTATCATCCTTTTTTTTTTTTTTTTTTCCTCAATATCAAATTAGCCACTATCTCCATTCACTTGTTTTCCCTCTCTTTAGGGTAAGATTACCCTTCCTAATTGTGCCCTAAAGAAATGAGGTATACTATTAGAGGATGGAGAAGGTATCATGTAAACAAGGGTCCCAGGAAAATTTAATTACCATCCTTATGTTTTATGCTTGTGTAATCGTGTTAACCAAAATGTTCTTAATTGGGAAATAAGGTGAATGTGATGATAATTTATAAGGATTTTTGTATTAGTAAAGTCATGTCATAAGTGTAGGTGCAGACACTTAAATATGAGCAAATACTTATGTCACATGATACCTTCTCCATAAGTATTTGCTCATAAATACACAAATTAAAAAAAAAAAAAAAAATTGAGCAAATACCATAAGAATTTCAAATATGAGCAAATACTCATGTTTAAGTGCCTCTATTACATCCAAACAATGAATTTGGGCCAAATATTCCAAACAGGCCATAAAGGTAATTAATTCATGTCACTAATGGCATAATTGTAAATTAGCAACATTAAATGATCTTGCATTTTCCAGCTTACAAAAAAAAAAAAAAAAAAAAAAAAAAAAAAAAAGTGTTTTCATCTAAGACATTTGTCATTTATTAGACTAATATAGAAAAGAGACTTATCATTCCAGGCTTCCCAACGTCCTTCATAAGTGGTGTAGGGTCGTTGGAAAATCCCTTTGCCGCCCATGGAAGTGAACTGGGTGAAATGGTGATCTATCATAAAAAGCCAAAAAATTCTGGCACCTTCAAAATTTAGGGGATCGATGAAGACCTACTGAACTAGTAATTGATTTACCGTTTCAACCTCTTAGTGCTACCAATTTACCACAGAATGGAGAGACAAGGTTGGTTCCCTCAGATACGAAATGAGGATATGAGGAAATACAAGTTTATCTCCTTGATAAACAAGTTTCGTTTATCACAGGGACAAAAGTGTAATTTTTGCGGTGAAAATGGGTAAAAAAAAGTAGCGGTTTTGCATAATACCGCTATCTGAGGTGACCGTTTTACTCCGTGATAAACGAAACTTGTTTATCATGGAGATTAACTGGCAGCCTAAATGAGGATATTGACCGACAACTTGTTGAATAGTATATATGACAAGGCAGCAGATGATGATTCTCATGTCATAGAATTCAGGAAATTCAACTAATTCTTATTTGAATAGTGTTGGGTTTTGTATGAATTCTATTTTTAGTGGAATTACTAAACACTTTTAGGATCTCATGTACATAATAGATATAAATTTATACAAAAGTTGATACACCTGCGTGACTTTGCTTTTCTCGCTTAAAATTAGAGATTAGAACCCCAATTGTGATTCCACTATATGTATCAATCGTCCACGCTCCACATTTGACACAATCCGATTAAAGGCAAAATTTGCGCCCAGTTTCATCTCTAGATTTAGCAGCTTACTATAAAAGGTTTTCTAATGTTAGTTGCTCTTTATACTCCCTCGGTCCCTCTGTGTTTGAATAAGTGTTACACTTACCAAATACGTTCTGGTTTTAATAAGTGTTACACTTCCTTTTTCTTGGCAAAAAGCTATATTTTAATATTATATCTTTATCCTTTTATGGTCCCCACTCAAACTCACTACTACTTTTTTTTTTTTTTTTTTTTTTTTTAATTATTATTATTTTTTTCCTCTTACATTCATTATTTTTCAATATACTATTAACCCCACTATCTTCTTTTACAATTTTTTAATACTCCAACTACCCCACTTATCTCTTATTTTATTTAAGTCAATTAAATTGCTTAAAATCATGTGCCGGTCAAAGTATAACAATTATTTAAACATGGAGGGAGTATTGATGTAAAGTGGTCTTTTGTTAAATGTACGGGTAACCGTAGAAAATCGGTCAACAAATTTGGGTGAATGATATTTTTAGGAAATTATTATGAATGTTGCTTTTAATGATCTAATAATATAACCCCATTTTTATATGGCTTTTCAAAAAAAAGAAAAAAAAAAATTAACATTAGAATGTTTTGGGACAATTATACTGAGTTTCTTATGCAACTTGCATGGTTATTTTTAATTTTGCCTTGTATGGTTGGTTTGTTAGCTTTGCAACAGAACTGAATAGTCCTCAAATTATTTTCCTAACAAGCTTTGTGCCTTTTTTTTTTTTTTTTTTTTTTAAAACCACTGTGTAAATTAGGATATGGTGATTTTTAAACCTCAAATACCAAGTCAGCAACAGCAGTTGCAGCACCAGCAGCAACAAAATCAGCAGTTACAGCATCAGCAGCAGCAAAATCAGCAGATGCAACAGCAAAATCAGCAGATGCAGCAGCAGCAATCTCAACAACAACAGCAGCAGCAACCACACTCTCAGCTGCAGCCTCAACAACTTCAACATATGCAACAGCAACAAACTATGCAACAGCTGCAACAACAGCAGCAGCTTCCCCAGATGCAGCAATCACAGCTTCAACATTTACCACAACAACAAAGCATGCAACATCTGCAGCAACAACAGCAAATCCCGCAACTTCAACAACAGCAAATTCCACAGCTTCAGCAACAACAACAAATTCCACAACTTCAGCAACAGCAACAAATACCTCAGTTACAACAGCAGCAACAACTTCAGCAGCTACAACAACAATCTCAACCTCAGCAAATGGTTGGTGCTGGAATGGGTCAAGGTTATATGCAAGGTCCCGGTCGACCTCAGTTGGTTCCCCAGGGACAAGTACCGTCGCAGGGGACCCAGCCAAATATGTCTGGAGGTGGATTTATGGGTTAGTTTGTTTAGGTGTTTTATAATTGAACAAAAATATTTATAAGTGTCCCCTTGTCTTTGTCACTTGGGTTGGCGCTGCTAGTTAAAATATAGTGAATAGTCTAATTAATTGGATTATGATATGAATTTATCACATCTTAATTATATTCTAATCTATTAAACTATTCTTATGAAATGCAAGAGGTAAGAAGGAATTTTGTTGTAAGTCTTGCAGTGTTAACTAATGTTATTTCCGTTCTTAAAATGAATGTTGTCCTGTTAATATCACATCTTATTTATATACAGTGACAAATATACTGGTACACAGACACAGGTACTTGATCATAAACTTAGCATCAAATTCCTTTTATCCATTTGTATACCATTGTTTTCTATGCCTAAACTTCTCATGAAGTTCGGCAATTTTTTTCTAGCTACTACAGTATTTTTATTTATTTTTTGGTAAATTACCAGGCCATTTGCTTTTTTTTGTCAAACCTTAATTGTCAATTATGATTAGAAACTTTTATCATACTGTATAAAAGATGGTAAATTAATAAGAAATAGTATTAAGACATAATTAGTTGCTCTATCCGTCAAGCTCTGTTACTCTTTAATAATGGCAGTCGGTTTTAAAAATTGTTGTTCTTCAATGATTGTGTATGTCTTTATATTGGGTGACCCGTCTTATCAAAGTTGTGGTGACTTAGTGAGTGTTTCATCTTATATTTTCGTAATAATATAGGTGATTACATTATGAATTGGGAAGTTTGTGATTGTACACCTTGTATTCCTTGTAATAATATTGTCCCACAACCACAAGCTCGCTTTGTTAAGAGGAGGGAGGCAAGGCAATGTTGAAGAATGTAAGTTAGTAAAAGAGAAAATTGATCTCAAAAAAAAAAAGAGAGAGAGAGAAAATTGATGGGACTAAAAGGTCCAAAACAATGTTTGTGAGAGTAAAATAGTGATCTCTCATACTCCCTCCGTTTTTAAAAGTTCGACTCACTTATTATTTATGTGGTCAAAATAAAATAAGTTTGACCACGGTTTATGACTTATACAATAGAAATAATTTAGCATGTGGGACCTTATTAGATTCATCTCATAATAAAATTTTCAAATATCAACTTTTTGTAATTTTTACTCATACATAGCCAAAAATATTCATGATCAAATATGTCTATTGGAGACCGCGTAAATGCCAAGTGAGTCGAGCTTTTGGGAACGGAGGGAGTATTTCTGTTACAGTATAGAGCAAACTTAAAAGAAAATTAATAAATATCAACATTTTATAATTCCACACTAAGTAAATTTTGCTAAAGTATGCTTCTTACGTAAAATATGCATTGACAAGTGTGGAAATTCTTAAATTAAAAAAAAAACAAATGGAGGAAGTATTAGACATTTCCCTTAGATTCACTGTCCCTTGTTATAAATGTTACTCATTCTGTAAAAAGATTGATATATAGTTGATCATACTCACCTCTTGACTATTCAAATTGTCAACAATCTCCTAATATATACACTTTTATTTGAATTTTCAATTCAAAATTACACATCTTCTAAAATCAGACTTGCATATTCAACTACTAAAATATCTGAAAAATAAATTCTCATGTGTGTCATGGATGGACACTCGTTAAGCTAACCGATAATCAAAGTTGGAACAAGCAACCTAACAAATTAATTCACATGGGATACAAATCATTATACATACTAACATACTCCTTATAGTATGATAGCATATATAGGGATTATACACCGCACTACCCACCACACTCCCCTCAATCGAGGGTGCCTTAATCCAATTGTCTTTTGCTTTATCTTTTCTTAATCACTTTGATTATAAAGGTCAATAAAATAGACAGTTCTGCAAAAGGGGCAATTTCGACTTTTCACCAATTACAGAAAAAAAATTCAGTCCCCTTAATTCCCGGGTTAGTTGGGCCACTTTCCCATCATTTTATCTCCCTTTTCGCCATGCAACACTTCACTCAGCCAAAAAAAAGAAAAAGTACAAAAAAATTATTAACGTTCTTTTGCTAATTTCACTGTCTGTCACCTTTCTAATCTTGTCACCCCACCACATTATCAACCAATCAACCAACCACATTAAATGACTCTTAATGGGTCCCACTCGTCTTCAAAGATCTTGCATTTAATTTGATTTAGAGCTGTGACCGTTTCCGTCAACAGCACGTCATTTTAGAATTATTATTATTAATATTTTTGTTAATTTTGACAAATTATTTTTTTATAAATTAATTAAAATTTGCCAAACTGTTAAATATTAATTAGTTTTTAATTAAATTTCTACATGTAAGAGAGAGAGACAGCGGAATAAGACAGAAAGAGGTGCCTGGGGGATCTGTAGCCTCCCTCCCCCACTGGCTACAACTTCAGGTAATTTTGAAATTTTTGTGAAATTTTATGTTATTTGGGATACATTTAATTCTTAATGATTTTGATTTCGAATGAATTAATGGTTTAAATAATTATATTATATGGTCAAATGTTGGAATTGTCTTAATTTGTTCACTCTGCTATAGGTTTAATCTGTTCAGAGGCGATCAAAGGTTGAAACTTTGTCAAATTTCTGGGAAATTCTTAGGTGGGGTTTGTTTAATTCGTGTTATTTTGCTGAATTTTGTAAAATTGGTTTGTTTGTTTTTAACAGAATTTGAGAGTACTTTGGTCAAATTGATGAATTTTATCTGGGATTTTGATTGTTCATTGAACCCAATTGATGAACTTACAGCATTATGCTAAATTGCGTACCTTTTGTCGTTAATTGTAGTATTTGATCAAGTGGGTCAATGCTTGATTATGCTCTAAATGATTTTTTTTGATGTTAAATTATGAAGAACTAGGAGGGTTTGAATCTGATAGTTGAAAATGGGGGTTATGTCAAGACGGGTTCTTCCTGTCTGTGGTAGCATTTGCATTTTCTGTCCGTCGCTGCGAGCGAGGTCAAGACAGCCAGTGAAAAGATATAAGAAGCTCCTTGCAGAAATATTTCCTAAAAATCAGGTAAAAGTTTGCAGCTTTTTCTTAGCTTCTGACTTCAGCACTGCTGTTTGTGTGATTGATTCAGTGGTTTTTGTTCAGTTTCTGTTTCGGTAACTGTTGTGTTAATTAGTGATCATAGCTGCAATTCCTACTTTACCATTTTAATAAAGAAGAGAGTTATGTTTTTGCTTTTATATGCCAATAAGGTGATATATGAATTCGATAATCATGCTCTCCAAGCAAAGCCTATGTAGAGATGTGGGTACAACCGTACAATTGGTACTTTGAAGAAACATGACATATGTTTGCAGTTGGAGATACATTGCTTTGGGCAATGGATGAATTTTATAATTTCATGTGCACAATTTCATGTTTAGATTACACACAATTGTAATTATCAGTTTTTTGATTTGTTATCTTTTGCAAAATTAACAGTGAATAAATATAGAGCTTGTTTGTAGTTTACTAAATAATGAGGGAAAAAGCTTAAGACTACATTTCCTGTGTGGATTTTGTTGGTTGCCTTGAAACATCATGAATTTCATATTGCTTCATTCCACAGGATATTCAGCCAAATGACAGAAAGATTGGGAAGCTTTGTGAATATGTATCAAAGAATCCGCTAAGAGTTCCTAAGGTGAATCTTCTTTTATTATGTTTATCGTTTGTTGGACAAGGTATCTCAGCTAATTGAATATTTCATCATCTTGGACACATAGTACACATTTTAACATGCATTGTATCTTGTAGTCCCTATATCACAATTCTACCTTTACCAATAACAAGACAGTAAGTATCCACCACATGGCTTACCAATAGATGAATCTTACTTTGTATGTTGTTCATTTATGACATACTTTCTATGTTCTAAATTTATCTTTTAGACAGTATTTGCCTAATTTGCACATACATTAAGAAAACTATTCTAGGGCTGAGCCAAAAGTTATTAAATGCAAGTTAGTTTAATTAGTCGTTAGAGAGATTAGGTAAGAGAAAGTGTAGGATTTGTGAGAGAAAAAAAATTGATGTGATTATAATTTTTTCAGAGAAAACGGGTCTACATCACATTGTGGCTTGGGCCATTTTTTTCCCTTTATTGGACATTGTGGCTTACTCACCTTTTTTTCCCAACCTTAATCAATTGATTATCTTGCTATGCTCTTTTCCCTTTTCGGACGGTTCCATATGACTAATCATGTTAGCCGAAATCTTTGAGTAGTGAGCTGGGTCTCTTAGACTCGTTGTTAAGGGGTCCAGTTGAAGTTCTACACTCCTACCTGATTGTCTTTAGTTAAGATAAATATAACAGAGAAGGAGAAGAGATGAAAAGAGAGTGGAGAATGAAGAGGGTGCTTAAGAGTTAGTGATCGGCGTGGTCTCATCAACTTATACTTACTTATTTGGACATAATAAGTCCTGACAAGATAAGTATAGACAAAAGAAGTTCCAATAGGATTTTACATACAAGCTTGGAAAATTTCATATAAGTTCGGATAAATCAAAATAAGTTTAAGAGAACACACATTTATAGTAGGAATCCAAATACTTAAATGAAGATTTATGATTTCTGCTCCTTTCCATCTAGCTATAGATTTAGATATGACTTCTATGATTGAGATGTTCTTGAAATGGTATGACAATCTTTAGATGTTGATGAGAATTACTTGGATTTAGCTTTTATCTGCTCTTCAGTTTACTGCCATATTTGTTAGCAAGTGTTCAATGATTATGACATAAGGCTCATAAAAGAAGCACATTTGAGTTACATTCTGACCTTAGGTGGCAGGGGCTTTGTTTTCTATTCCTCTTTATCTTCATAAAAATATCTCTTACTTTAATCTGAAAAATGTTACTTGTTTGTGATGATGATAAATTGATAATGATAATGATGATGATGGTCATTAATACATGAATTTTTAATGTCTTCAAATTGCTGATCATTAAGGGTTGGAATTGTATTACACTTCTTATTCTATTTGTCATTTGACTTCGATGAAATATTGAACAATTAGACCTCACAAGCTCACTGTAACTATTCATCTCATCCTATACATTTTGTTAATTTGTAGATAACTGAATACCTAGAACAACGATTTTACAAGGATTTACGGAATGAGAATGTTGGATCAGCAAAGGTTGTTCTGTGCGTGTACAGGAAATTTATATCTTCATGTAAGGAGCAGATGTGAGTATGACTTATCTTTGTTTGTTTAT